CGGTCTCCCTCCCCCTCCCCCCCCCGAGTGTCCTCTTTTTTTGCTTGTGGAAATATGGTAACCCTAGAGTCAGCCTTTCCTGTTCTCTGAGTGTTTCCCTTTCTGGTGCCCCCCCCCATGCAGTGAAGAAGGAAGTCGTCTGACAGGAATGCGGAGGGGAGAGGAGCTGGGCCTGGCGTTAGGGGAGGACTGGGCTGAGAAGCCAGGGGGTGGACTGGAACTGGGATGTGGAACCACAATACTGGGCGTGGGGTGAGGAGCCAAGGTACAGTGTGGGTTTGGGATGAGCAGCTGGACTAAGAGGTGGAGGTGAGGGGTGGAAGGACTGGAATAAATGGCCCAGGAAGGGCAGGTCGGGGGGAGGAGATTGGGACAAGGAGCTGGGGGGCATGTAACTCAGTATGTTTCTACATGATGGAGTTACTGTTTTTTCAGTTTGCTTTTTTAAAAGCTAGGAAACTACATAACAAACAAATAAAACAAGAACAGCCCCACCTAAAAAGAACATTAAACTTGCAAACTCAAACCTTGAAGTTGGAAAATGACAGAATTAAGATTATCTTTGTGCAGCTTTAATTTTGACCCCTCGTGTTTGCATTAGGCTACTGTCCTCATTAATTACATGATCACAGGGTTTTTATTTCCCCTCAGGACCCCAACCACTCAGTACACAGGCTGCCCCTGCTCTGGGGCTGAATCAGCGTTGTGTAGTGAAGGAGGCTGTCAGCTGTAGGACCCCTGCACACAGCAATGTTAATTCTGAGCATTTCCTAGCTTTGAGTGCTTCACTTTGCAACCTTAATAATGCTAACTGAATGGGGGAACTTTGTATGGCCCCCAGGCCACGACATCTCCTCCTGTCCCCAGCCCCACACAACCCTGCCAAATGACACTCTCTTGTCCCTGCACCCCCGGCCACCACAACCCCTCTCCTGTCCCCTCCCCCCGGCCAATGACACCCCCTCTCGGCCCCACCTCCCTGCCCCGTGGGCCCGGGCGCTGGCGGGGGGGGAACAGCCGGGCGGAGTCGAGCGAGGCCCCGCCCCCTGATCTAACCGGTGGCGCCTGCGCGGTGCGGGCCGGCGGGGCCCGGGAACCTCCGCTGGGGCCGTCTCCCGGGCCCGTCCGTATGAGGAGGCAGCCGCCGCCGCCGGGCCCTGCCAGCGCCATGTCGGAGCGGCCCGGCAAACCCGCCTGCCTCATCATCGCCAGCGCGGCCTCCGGGGGTGAGTCACTGCCCGGGCCGCCCCCGCGCCGCTGTCAGCGCGGCTGGGCGGCCCGGGAAGGGGACCCAGAGCTGGGCCGCCCCTGCGGCGGGAGCCTGCCCTGGCCGGCCTGGCGCCGGTGTCCGCCCGCCTCGTCCACGCCAGCCCCAGCGCGGTGACCGCAGGAGCCGCCCCGCTCCCTGTGCCCCGCTGTGAGAGGGGGACCGGGGCCCTGCTCTGCCGCCGCTTTCCCAGCCCGTGTAGTACTTGCCCGGGGTGAGCCCGCTGCCCTCGCTGGCACAGCGGCACGCTGAGCTTGGCTCTGGGGC